ATYAGCGATTAAAATATAACTGATACGTCGTTTGTTGGTCATCTTAATTAATATTTTCATTTTAAAAGTAGATTTTTTTGAAAAATGAAAAGGATCTTCCAATTATGACTAGAGGCTGAATCGAAACACAATAAAAAGTTAAAAACAGATCCGGAAATTGACACACTTGATTGATACACAAAATAAAATTAAAGCTAATTAATGAGCCCTTGTTGTTGATATAATATAGAATTTGGAATTTGGAATTGGAATTGCATCAGTGCAGTGTTCCCTTGGAGCGAGCTTTTTTGGTCTCGTATTTCTTACACCACAAGGTCTTGCTGTCTATAGAAAACTTGGCTTCCTCTTTCCCTCCCAAAATGATGGCTGCTATTGAAGATGCAACGAACACCACCTTCCCAAACAATGGCGCCTGATTCCTTCCCTCTGGATAATGCACGTACACCCTCTCGATGCACGGCCCGTATCTCCTACAACGACAACGTGAGAAGCATAATAACATAAAGAGGCTAAATAAAAGCACTACTCCAATTTAAAGCGTCATAATTACAAAAACTAAAGGTCGAGATTTTGACACCAACAACAAGGGTTTGGTTGTTAAAAAAATGGGTTTGAAGTTAGAACCAAGAAGGAAGGAGGGGCAATTGCCTCCCTAAACAAATTATTCTACAAAAGGTTAAGATTTTAAATTATTTTCTCTAATTTGTTACCTTTGATGGTTTTGTTTATTTTTTCTTTAGGATTTTGAGTAATTTCAAATATTGACATATATATAACAAAGTTAAGATTAAAATTTCTCTCTCTCACCTCCAGTAGTTTGTTTATTTCTTCCGGGAATGGAAGGAATTTCAAATGAATTTGTTGTCTTGTTATAATTTTAAATTAGAATGATTTGAAGTCCTATTTGATTTGAAATATTTTTTTGTACTTTTTTTAATACAAATATTTTTTGTACATAAAAAAACGTACAAACTAAAACAATTTAAGTTTACAGGATTTCATACGATTCTAAAGTAATTTAGTAGCCATATTTTAATTTTCCATTGATAACTCATGATTAAAAGATTCTATTSGTAAATTTCTTACTTTCTTTTCCATTTCAGTGAACATCCAAACAGATAATTTTCACTCCAAACAAGATCAAGATGAACAATTTCAAAATCATCTCTTAGATTTCAAATAATTACAGGATTTAAAATCATTTCTACTACTTTCCTTCGTCTCAAACGAAAGATTATGAAAATTTCGGACCCTACCCATATGGTACAAATAGATATACGACGTAGAAACAAGAGGGTGAGAGCGAGGGAATGGCATACCGGGTGAAAAAGTTGACGATTTGGTGCTCAGAAAGCGGGTAGCCATTCGAGAAAGTGAGAAAGAGGCATCGATCTTCCTCGGGGGCGGAATC